AGAATCGAAAAATTTAAACTATTGTTGACACAAACTAATAGTAGAAGGATATAGCGTCTAAGGCTTTTAAATTTTTGTCCCAAAATAATTTTTTTCCCAATAATCACAAGAGCTTCTCTTTAAAAGAGCATATAAATAGAATAATTATGCGAAATACCCTTGAGTGAAGAATCAAAACCAAATATAAATCAGGCGTCGAAAAAAGTGAAGCGCAAAAGGTAACCAACCTTGGCTGCCTGTAGTAGAGAATGACGTTCAGCGCGCTTCGATTCAAGCCTCGCCTCGGTTTGCGTCATTTCTTTCTGTTGTCGCTGGATCTCCCGCTGACGCTGGACGAGGCGACGCCGGATCTCAGTCATTTCAGAGTCTAGACTCTCAGCACGTCGCTTAGAATCGGCAAGTTGAGTGTCCAACTCCAGCTTTCGCTGCTCTTCTACCTCCATCTCCTCCTTGATTTTCTTTTCCTGTTTTTTACATTTGTCAATCTCCGCCTTTTCACTGTTCACTGTCTCGTCCCACCTGCGCACACTTGCCTCAGTGTCGCGTGACTTTTCGTATTCAAGCTGGTTATTGATTCGCTGTAATTGGTTAGTGAATTCAAGCCGTTTGCGATCCCGTTCACGAGCAATACGTAATTCGCGGTCTTCGTATTGCCTAAGTAAAATATAAGCGTAATCAAACGAAAAGAATGCAGTTACATTATTTGAGGGTAGTTAAAGTAAAAAGACGGTAGATCTTGATTGGAATAAGCAAATAGCAAGAAAAGGGTTTATCTATCCCAAAGAGCTGTGGAGAATTAAACAATAAAAAATAAGGTATGAAGACCAAGATTGTGAAGTCTTTTGGATAGTCGCGGTCTCCTTTCGTTGTATAGTAGTTGTTTGACCTGGTTTTCAAAACTTGGTCATATTGGCGGGAAGAGGAACCCACCTAGTCCGGAATCCATAGTATGCATGATAATTTCCAGTCGGACCGTGAAGTTGGTACATTCCCAGACGTTTCTTCGACATCGTAGTCGACATCGTAGGTGAACCTAGCCATTCTTAGCACCACACTACAACACGTCAGAGAAAAGTGGAATTGATCCCTTGACCAATTGTCTACTAATAGTAAAATTCATTTGCTTGAAGCTCAAGAAAGTAAATGGCATACTATCAAATACTGTTAATAAATTATATGAACAATCTCAAAGGATCCAGAACATTGAGTTGATGGGGGCAGAACTATTTATACGTTTCTATGTACAATCCATGTACGGAAACATCTCAGGCGAGAAGGCAATCATCGTCCTAGTGGAGATATTGGAACGAGGAGAGGATATCCTGGAAGCAGAACGGATACGAAAGGAGTCGTTAACACGATTAATCAACCCGTCAGTAAGCATCGCATATTTCACATTCAACGGCAATATCTATGAGCAAATATTTGGATTACCGATGAGATCGCTACTCTCACCTCTTTTGGCAAATTTATACAAAAAACAGATAGAAGGAATTCGAGAACCCACAGCTGCAAGCAAAAGTAAATACCTGAACCAGGGAGATAGGAAACGTGTTATAGGACCTATTGGAAGAGGATTGCGGACTTATATGGCAGACTCAGTTCAACATTCCCAGCAAAGGGTTGGGATAAGGAATCCAGCGTGGGGACTGAAGAGATTGCATGAAATCCGTTCAAAAGAGCACACCATATCAAATTTAAATAGAAAATTAAGAAATTGAGATAGTGAAGGGCTAGTAAGAGGATATAGGATGGGTGAATAGCTCAAGACAAAGGGAGAGAAATCACAACCATTTAGCAGACAATTGGTTAAAGGATCCATTTTACTTCTCTCTTTGACTAGTTGTAGTGTATTTCTGAAAATGACAGGGCTAACTGCTGATGCTGATTACGATGCCGGGAAATTTTGGAAATACATCTAAATGACGCTTTTCTGCGGAGGAAATGCCCTGGCACGAAAGCAAAGTAGTCAATACTAAGAGAAATTTTCGATGGTAACTGTAATTTGAAAATGGGAGCTAAAAAGCATTTTGTAATTAAATATGTGATGTTTAGCGAAATAATTTAATTAAATTTTGGAAAATTTAATTGTACTTTAACCAAGTTAATGCAGTTAAATTCACTTGAAGCTAAAGTGTATTCAATGATAAAAGGCAAGTCGCAAAATGTCACCTAAAGAAAAAGTTCCAAGTGAGGTTAAAACAGTTAGCAGCGAACGGATTAAGCTGACAAAAACAACAAATGTGGGGATATGGCATCCGTTATTTAAAAGGCAGTCAACGACATATCATCTAGTTTCTTTAATTAATAAATATATTCCTGCAACTGGAATAAGCATCAAATAAGCACCTCGAAATTAATAGAGGTATGAAATACAATCCATATATTTTTATAAGATATGAAGACCAAGATGGTGTGGCTTTTTTTGTGGTCGCAGTCTCCTTTCGTTATATAGAAGTTGTTTTCGCAACATAGTCATATCGGTAGAAAGACTTAGAGGAACGCATCTAGTCCGTATTCCATTGTATGCATGATCATTTCCAGAGTATGACGGTGGACGTGGTACATTCCCAGACGTTTTGCCGGCAGAGTCAGTGATTATTGCCAGTCTTAGCACCACACAACAACTCGTTAAAGAGACAAGTAAGCCTATCCTTTGACCAAACGTGTGCTAAACAGTTGTGGTATCTCCCCTTCTGCCCTGGGCTATTCACATTTCCTATTTCCTCCTATCACACCGTCATTGTTACAATTTTTCTCTTGCTTAATTAAATTTAGTGTGATGTGACCTTTTGAGCTGCTTTCATAAGAACCCTCCGCACTTCAGGCTGGCGTTCTCACCCCCCTTGGCCCTTCGAATTAGTCACCAAGACGCAGGGGAGGACGAATAACGCTTCGAGTGGCACAGATGGAGTGGCAGGGGTCGAGTGAAATATGTGAACCAGGGAGAAAGCAGACGGATCTAACGGGGCAAGATAGAGACTGTGATAAGACCTAGGGAAGGAGGACTGCGTAACAATATAGCAGACTGATCCACATTCCCAGCACAAGGATGAAGTGAGGTGAGAACGCCAGCGTGAAGTGTGGAGGGTTCTCATGAAAACCGCTCAAAAGGTCACATCACAATAGATTTAATTAAGTGAAAAGAAAAAATTTTAACAATGACGGTGTGATAGGAGGATATAGA